CTTTATTAGCAACATTTAATTAGCATAGTGCCCGGTATATAGTAAGTGCTCTACAAATATTTTCTGAATGAAAACGTAAGTCATCAAGAAGCCTACATGAAAGTTTTTTTCACCAAATCTTGGTGATGGGTACAACTTATTCTCTAAAACTCTGGAGGATATTAGTAAGGAAAGCTTTAGTATCAGATGGCCTTATATTTTAAATGCAGGCTCTACCATTTCTTAGCTGTGTGACAGTGGTTTAAGTCACTAAACCTCCCTGAGCTTCGATTTCCTAATCCATGCAATGGAGCTAATAATGAAATATTATTTAGGGTTTGATTTTGAAGATTTGCAATAATATTTATAAAAAGTATGACACACACACTACTCAATAGATGGTGATTATGATAATGAAGGGAAACGCAGATTCTCATCAGCAAGTTAATCCCTTTGTCCCAGAAATGGGCAGGCCCTCCCAACACTGGCCAAGGTCAGGACTGCCATCAGCCAAGGTAGGCAACATTCTCATTTTCACTTTCAAAGTCAAGAAAATGGTACAGATCTAAAGTAGAAAGGAACCAGCAGCACATGTTTTTAAATATTCATAAGGGCTGGAAATGTCTTACTCCTTTCGTTTTCTCTGCCATCTGCTTTTGTTTCTTTTCTTTTCATTCTTATGCCACAGCTGCAAATGAAAACAACCATACAATAACTCAAGTTAAATAAAAAAAAAAATCAAAATAAAAACAATCTGAGGGGTGAAAAGCAAAGATGAATTACAAAGTTTTCCCCTGAGCTCACAAAGCAGTAGAAGAATGTTTGATGTGAGTTAAATCTTCTGGAAACCAAAATCCATGTCCCATGTTTATAATAACCATGATAAGAGCAACCACCATTTACTAAATGGCCCCTGTGTGCCACTGGATGACCAATCTCTCAAATTCTAAAGCCACTCTTCAAAGTAGGTAAATTAAACCCACTTTACAGAAAAAGATACAGCAAGTCAAAGAGATAAAATAGATTTTTAATCGTTACACAGCTAATAAGAGACGAAATTAAGATTTGAATCCAGGTATGTCTGGATCCAAAGCCCAGGCACTTTCTCTACCATCCTCTCCAAAAATGGGAAGGGATTTGAAAAATTTAATTTGGGAAATATTTAGGGCAGACCATTTGTACTAAACGGATTTATTCAGATAATTAAAATCTGTGATTATAACTCTAATTAAAGTTAACTCAGATAATTGGTTGCTGTATTTGTGCACGTGCAATTAGAGTCTTCCACATAATTGTGGGGTTTTCGGCATCATACATTCCATTTATTCACCGCGGCCCAGAGCTTTGCTCTACTGGCCTCTGTTCTACCCAAGGCTGTATTATAGCTCTTGGGGTCTCTGGGCCCAAGGACCATGACTTGTGATACCAACAGCAGGATCTGGACTCAGCCCCATTTAACATGTCTTTGTCCAGAAGTCAATGAACACCTCATCTTCAAGTGCAATGTAAAAAGCTCTCACAGCCTACACTGTTGTCCTGAAAACCCCTAGCAGCATGTACCTGAAGAAAAACTGGCAGCAGTGGTCCTCATGTGTTAATTACACTTTCGAAGTCTATTATGCATAGAAAGGGCACCTGCTGGCAGTGAAAATGACTAGAATCTGCCCTTCCTGTGCAGTGAGTAAATTGAGAGTTCATTTCTACAGGAGATAATAGTTTTCAGATTCCATTTCGTGTATCCCCTGCATGGGGACATACTTAACATTTAAATCATCTGCAGAGGAACAAACCTCCTTCAAATTTACATGTTTCAAGCTCCTAGCACTTTACTTAAAATGCTAGTTATCCCTGCTGGCTCTTACCACCAAGGATTAAACTCAACAGTGGTTAAAGTCACCGAGCACAATAGAATAAAGTTATTAGCATTGACTCAAATTTCATGACATTTGTAGTTTCTGACCAAAGCAGTTGGTAGCAGGCTGAAGGTGATCAAATCAAACCTTGAATGGAAGATCTGTTTTTTCTCTTGGGGGTCTTTTATTTCCACATTCTTAACATCTTGTAGTTAATAAACAGATACCAATCTCCACTGGCCTGTAATCATCCTTTGGTCAAATGTCAAAAAGTTCTTTTGTGAAAACAAGAGACCAGGAGAGGGACTGCTATCATATACACAGAAACCTCCAAGATGGAACCTAGTCACAAAACCCACTCAGGCTCTGAAAAATACAAGTCTTAGCTTTTTTTGGAGTGGAAGTTGGGGTTGACAAGGACTTAGTAGCCTTCAACTGTCGGGTCTTCCCTTCTAAGGTAGACCCGCCAGCATCATTGCTCTCGGGCAGGCTGATGACACAGTTCAGGAGAGGGCTGGGGTTAGAGAGGAAGTTGGAAAGAGGATCTTGGATCACCTTCCACAGGAGAAGAGCAAAACAGCCAATAAATCCTTTAAGCAAACAAGAAAGGAGGGCTGGAAAGAACAACTGGCTAGAATGCTGATTTTTTTAAAGTGAAACTTTTCAAGTATAGAAACCATACATTTTCGTTGTAGAAACAGAATAACATAGAACAAAATAAAATAAAAATCACACTGAGTTCCTCTCCCTCCTCCCCATCACAAACTCCTGCTAACACTGTGGTGTGTTTCCTCTTAGATCTCTGCGTGTGTGTGTGTGTGTGTGTGTACACATATATACATATACACACATACATCTATATACATCTACATATGTATACACACATTTTTGTGTTTTATAGACACACGTTTGTTTTTATAAAAACGGAATCATACAATACATGGTATCTATATTGGAACAAGTTACTAAACTTCTTGGGGCCTTGGTCTCCCAATCTGTGAAATGGAGCTAATGATACCCACCTCCCAGGGTTGCTAGAAGAATTAAGTGAGATCACAGACTGGGGCACAGGAGATGTTCAACTCTGGCGGCTATTGTTACCACTGGAACTGACAAAGCTTTTTTCTCTGCACAGCTCTGGGAATGTAAGCTGCTAGTTTTAAGCTAGCTGACAATTTAGCAACCAAAGCTTTCGAAATAATAGAATAATAAAGTCGTACTATTTGGGAGGCAGAGAAACTATAATGACGCTGCCAGGTCCTACCAATACCTGCACGCAGAAGCCCATGTGTGCTCCCATCTGAAGCGCAGCATCAAGACACACAGGTGAGTCTTTTCCAGGGGGGAACTCTAAGGTTTCCTCTTAAAGCACATGTCTGAGGTGAGGTGTGTGTGCGGGGGGGGGGGGTGTCTCTCCATGGGGGGATCACAGACGTGTGCGTAGGGGAGGGACGTGTGTGTGTGTGTGTGTGTGTGTGTGTGTGTGAGAGAGAGAGAGAGAGAGAGAGTATGGGGGCCATGTGCCTGTGTGGGGGTAGGTGTCTAGGAGAGTGTTCTATGTTGGGGCTGGCAGCAGGCTTCCATGTGCTAAGGGGACTGGGAATCACTGTGAGTCTGTCTTAGGAACATATGTCCCCTTTCTACCTTTTCCGTCTATTCCTCTCACTACCCTCCTCCACCTCTGTCTGTTTCTTCCCCCATCCCACGCCCCCCTCTCTCTTTCTTCCTGTCTGAGCGTCGGTGTCCTCCTCCACCCAGCCCCCCAGTCTTTCATTCAAACAACAACAAACACTACTGGATAGCAAACATGGTCCTCTCCTTTGAGACACATGGCAGTATGGAAAAAACCAAGGTAGCTGGTTTAGAAGCTCAAAAGGAAGCAGCGAGTCTAAGCAGAGGATTAGTCCCTTAATTTCATAGGAAGTGGGAGAAAGGCACAAATAAGAACAGCTACCTTGATAAGAAAGATACATAATTGAGAGAGAAATGAGCCAATTCACTTAGTGCTATGCACTGGAGAGGGCCACTGATTTTTACCTGATGGCCCTGAGCTACATCTTGGTTGTACACACTGCTTCTTGGGATGAGAGTGAGCCCAACACATTCAAACTAGGAGTACTGCAGAACACCCTTAAGCTCCCAGGACAATCTGGCTACTTCAGCGAACCATCTCAAGTGACAGGACTGCAAAATGGGCTGGAAGAACCCAGCAAAGATTATGACTGACCTGATGGTAAATGTCCTAAAATCATCTGTTTTTAAGTGACAGGGCTGTGACCCCTCAATGGGTCCCTTTCTCCTGAAGCTCTTAATTTCTGGCAGGCAGTACCTTTACCCACATATGTACAGTGCTCCCTTATCAACATCTGCTGACTTGAGCTGTCTGGAGACAATGTCTTTAATCACATTATGCTAGAGAAAGAAATTATTCAGAAAGAAAACAGATCCAAATCCGTTACACAGACAGTCTTTCTTGGTAATCTATCGAGGACAGATAGTGACAATGTATCTGCGGAAACATTTACTGAGCCCTTACCACGAGCCAGCTTTTCTACATCATGTCCCTTCATCTCCTGTATCATTTATCTTTATATATTACATATGGAACAACTTCATTTTGCAGATGAGGAAACAAAGTCTTAAGCCAAGGGACTTGCCCAAGGTGGTAGAGCTGACACTAAAGCCTGCCTGCCTTCCTTCCACTAAAATACATTTCCCTCAACAGTGAAACTCCCATCAAAAAACTGCAGAGGGTTTTGAAGTCTGGCTTGTACGCCCAAACCACAGCTGAAAACGAGTCCTACAGAATGTGCCGGGGTATGGTTGAAACTTGAAGACCTCGGGGACCCCAACTGTTTTCACCAGGCTCCAATCCATCTTGGGGGAAAAAAAAAAAAAAAAAAAAATCACACCACTACGTGGTGCTTTGGTCTCTCCAAAGTGAGAGATGGGAAAAGATCCACGGCCTTGAACTCTGCAGAATGCCATGGCATAGCTGAAAGCCATTTGGAAACAAAAGGGCCATGCAATCACCTGGTCTAAAATTCACATTGTTTTGAAGTTAGTAGTTTCAGTTTAATCACCAACTGCATTATGAGGGACAGCCCTAACGTCCTCGTTAGGTGCTGGAGAAGGGAAAGCAGGGGACGGGGTGAGCAGCAGCCTTACCAGCAGTAGTCCAGCAGATGCGGAGGCAGGACGGGGATGTACACGTGCTGCCAGAACATGGGGTACAGCATGGCGGCGGCCCCGTGGATGCAGGCGGTCAACTGCAACACAAGCAAACCAAAACTTCAGAGCCAAGAAATCCACATGCGGAGACACTGTTGTTGGAGGTGAGCAATAAAATTCAATACCTACTTCTCGACATTTTTAAAAATAGGAGTTAACTCAACCACTAGAATTCAAATTTAGTAAGAGCTTGCTTTTCCTAAGAAATCTTCCTCCCCACCCTGATTATGAAGCTAATGCACAATGACAGTAACAAATTTAGAAAATGGAAAAAGGGGCAAAAGAAAATAAAAGCCTTTCACCATCTGAAGATAACTTGACATTTTGGGGAATTACCAACAAAGTACTTTTATTCCCCTTTCTAATAAAATTAGGATTACTGTAAATACAGTGCTCATTTGCCTTTTTTTAAAGTTTATGTTTATTTGCTGGCATTTTCCCACATCCTTAAATATTCCTAGAAGACATACCTTTTAATGACACTCAATGAATTTCCCACACTATATTTAACCACTCTCCCAACATTACAATATATAATCAGATCATGTCAATAATTTTTATACATGGTTCCTAGATGTAAGATTCAGAGACAGTACTATAATTTAAATATAATAAATGTATTAATATAATAAATAATGGATGGAGGCTCTTTACACTCCCACAGCCATGCACTAGAATGTCCTCTCCACACCTCACCAGGGCTAAGAACTGTAGTCAAGTTAGTAGCTTTGGAAGTGTATCTATTTGGATTTTATTTTTATTCCTCTGATCATGTCTAAGGCTTAGCATCTTGTCATGTTTCTTGGTTATATTTTATAGATAAATGGTCTGTTCATATTCTTAGTCCACTAATGAGTATCAGCATTGTTTAAAAGTGATTTACAAGCAAACACTGGATATACAAAGGATACTAATTGTAATGTTTCTGAAAATAACTTATCCTTCTATAATTTCCTTTGAATTGGGCGGGGGGGGGGAAGAGAAGGTTTAAATAATTTCACAGACAAATCTTATCCTTCATGATGGTTTCTACTGCTGTTATACTGAGAAAGGCCTCCAAATTCTTCCCCAGCATTTAACTCTTTAATCCATCTGGAATTAATTTAGGTTTAAGGACAGAGGTGAGAATTTATTTTTTCCACATAGTTAATCAATTGCCCCAGCACTGTTTACTGACTAATCCTTCCTCTCCCTCTTCTTTTGACATGCCCCTATTTCATATTCCTTCTTTTTCTTAAGAGCTAGACACATCCTATCAGGATCTGATATAATTAAAAAAATTAGGGACAGAGATATAATGGAATAAAATTGCTACAAAATTCAGTATAGTGAAAGAAGGAAAAAAAACCCCAACACCTTTGGAGATATGGCTATGAAGTGACAAAAGCCAACAACACATGTTTCTTTCTGCCTTTTTTCTTTAATGTTTCTTTGGTTTCTGGGAAGCCTGTTCCCATGAGGTCTTTGCTTCTTTTGGAAGCTGTTAACTGGCCTTTGCTGACAGAAGGACATTTACGTGGCAAAAGAGTGACGTGCCAAGGCCCAGTTAAAAGAATCCCAGAGGTTAGTGTAACATGAACAGCTTTAAATTGGATATTCTGCTGATGTTTCCCAGTTGTGAAAGCTGTGTATTAAATCCACGGCCGCTACTTTTTTCCCCCTCCTTCTCCCTCCAGACCCTGTTCTTTAGATCAGGTACCTGTCATGAACAGGAGCTGATCCAGCAAGCTCTCAAGAGTTGTTCCCAGCGACTCTGCCAAGGCCTGTAGGTTTAATCCATCCCTTCTCAACCCATTTCAGTAGGATTCCATATAGAGAAGGCTGTCATATTTTACATGACCTATCTCTTCAGGGTTAGAAGAGATGAAAAATCTTTGCTGGTGTTGAATGGGGAGAAAATGAACAAACTTCACTCCAACTGCACCCTGAAGTCAAGCTGGAGGGTTACCCTGGCTTTAGGCCCCAGTTCTTCCTGGCCATCCTTTAACTAGCTGTCAAAGGACTCATACTAAAGTGCAGGTCCAGTCATGTCACATCCTCCTCGGAAGTCTCTGCAGGCAAGTCGGGAGCAGGCCTGAAGCTACCTCTCCAGGTAGCTTCCAGTCTACCTGGAGAGCAGCATCTCCAGACACAGCCTCTACCACCTTCTCCAGGTTTATCCTTTGAATAAGTCGTTTCAGACTTAGCGGTAGCTATGTACTCCTTTCCTGGATCTGTGCCCCTAGCAAACTCCTCCTCTGGGTCTCTGTGAAAGCACTACTTTCTTCACATGGCTCTTCTGGGCATAAGCCCCCATTATTATGGGTCTCTTCCTGTCTGCATGCCTGTCCTCTCACTGTAAACTCCAGGAAGACCCTGCCCCTCTTCTTGCCCATGTTCTAGGGGCACAGCATCTGTGCAAGTGCGAGTCGATGCAATGTTTCTTCCATAAATAAAAAACAATTCCTACTTAAAATATATTCACAATATAAACATAGTGAGTCACCTGGCTTTTAACTAATGGACCAACATTTTCCTGAGTCTCACAGAGTGGGGTATAGGACTCAAATTCCAAAACAATAATGGCAAGCTTAGACACATAAATATGCCACTTTTGGGAAGTCATGTCAATGGATTCATTCTTTCTTTTCTTTCTTTCAATAATACGCCTATTCTCTAACTCTACAACACATCAAATAAGTAAGTAAAAGCACTTTAAAATCTCTAAGGTGCTGTACAAATATAAGATGTCCTCATCACATTAATTCATTTGTAATTCTCTTTGGAAAAGTCATTCCATAGAATGTTCCTGGTTGAGACAGAACTTGATTATTTCCCCCTTTTTAGCTTGAATTGGTTTGAGTCAAAATCCTATTTCAAGCAATAAAGCGACAGAGATCTTATCTCCAGACAATGTTCTTTTCATGTCTCCTTTCCCTCAAAAAGACCTAAAAGCTAAATGTCAAGATTTAAAATTACCTATCCCTCATAAAAATTGAATTTTAAAGGTGCTTGATCATCATCCTCATTGGCGGTTTTCTAAAAGCCAAATCTCTAATTGGAGTAAAACGCATTTACCCATTTGATTAAGAAAACAAACAAACAAAAAAGAGAATTGTTTGGCTCTTTTCCAAAATGCAAAGTGGCAAAACAATGCACATCGTTACTTAGGAATAGTGGTGAGTCAACCACAAGAAAAGTGTTATGATTTACCTGTGCTTAATCAGAAATAATATTATATCCCATAAATTATCATTAGCCACTTATTTTAACAACAACTGTAAGGCCAACTCCATTTGTAAAAATAAGGTTCCTAAAAGCCTATGCTCATTCTTTACAGAATACAAAATTTTAAAGTAATGAAAGTATACAATTTGGATTATAGTCAACAAAGGGGTATTCTGAATATTTAATTGAAGTGCAAGTTGAAGAAAATGATCCCATCAAAATCTCACTCAGTGGGAGAATAGAAAGATAGTATGTGTAAAATTTGCCCAAAGTCATTAGTCACAATGAATATTCATCAGAAGCCAATTATCAATCCCATTTAATGACACCCCAAAAGATTTTGCCCTGAAGCAGCTGAATAGTCTAAGACTCCAGACAAAACTAGACAAATTATACAGCCAACAGCCAGTCTAGCCAGGACACAGATTGTAAAGTAAACCACTGGTGGGTTTCTAGACGCACTTTTAGCAAATTCTGTCCTCAATTAAAGGTGCACAAGGTCAGTTCTATCTTGGAGCTTTCTGTATGGCTCCATTAGTTTTCTTTGAGGCAAAGGGAGAGAAAGAAAGACAGCAAGAGGGATAGGACAGGGAGAGTGATCAATGACAGAGCTGGAAAAATCACGAAGACATTATGTGTGTGTACGTATTTTTTTTTCTTAGTTTAAGGTAGTTCTCAGATATAATGCCCAGATAGCCACAGTCTTCGATTCTAGTTCCTTGGCTGATTCCTAATGGTAGCTCTGCAGTTTAACATGAAACAAAAGTAAGAGTCTCCCCTTAAAACACACAAATAAGAAAAAAAACCCCAAGGAATCCCCACAGTATACGTGCCAGGTACCGTGTTAGCGGTTTAGGATACTGAAAAGTATTGTTTTAGAAGTGTGCATGTTTACATACGTATACACTCATCACCATATTTCAAAGATGCAGAAAACAGCCTCAAAGGTGAAATAACTTACCCAAAGCCACACAGCTCATAAGTGACAGAACTGGGACTCACATCCAGGTCTGTCAGACTATAATGGCCACTGTGTTTCCACAATGCATAAATTAACTAAAAAGATTTTTGACTGCCTACCCTGTGCCTATACACCATGCTGAGGAGCCTGAACTAGGTGTGATACTGTTCCTACCAGCACGGCCAAATTACGTAGAAATATGTTTGCCTTGCTGTTAGATGACCAAATTACTGGGGTAAAATACCAATTAACAGAAAATAATCATTTTTAAAACAAACACAGATCTGATAATTTCCTGGGGGTTAGTTATACTTAACTAGGGTGTTGTATTGTCTTTAATCCACTGGAAATTCTAGACAAGGGCATAATGATTGCTGGTCAAACGGAAAGGCTTACACCCCAATCTGGCACACCTATTTCAAAGTCTGGCTTTCTGTCATGTTTCCTTTCATATACTTGCATGGAGCTGCCATTAACTCTCTTTTTGATCTGAGCAAGCCGCTTCCTCTCCTGGGTCTCAATTTCACCTACAGGGAAAACAAGAAGTTGGATTCTGTCATCTTCTGTGCCCTCTTCCAGCTTTGACAATTTCCGATCTAGAGGAATTACCATCCTTAGACGTGAAGAATGTGCCTCCCCTGCCCCAGCTCACCTTCTTCAGCTATACCAAGTATAAGTAAAACAGGGTCTGTCTCAAAGCTCGTCTTACTTTTTCAGGTCTGCAGTTACAGGGGCCCACCTGGAATTCCTGTGTTACCTTGGAACTACCACGTTTCAGCCACCGCAGCCCTAACACCTGACTGTGGAAGGCACTGCCTTCCCCAGTGCTTGGCCCCCAACACTCTGGATATCTCAGAGGTAGATGACCTT